CTTACAGCATATTCCAATGCATGTCTATATCAACTGACAATCCCAATGAGTTTAGTGGGTCTTTCTTTAAAAAAGTAGATGACAGGAACTTTAGTCATATTTGGTTGCCAAGACCAAATTCAGAAATGTGAGTTTTGTCCCCCCGTATTTGCAAAATTATGGGACATCAAAAATAAACAGACTCCTGTGGTACATTAAAGACTAACAAAAGAGGCATAAACTTTCATGGACTGGAGTCCATTTCATTAGGTGCATGAATGCATTTTTCCAAAGCTGGCCAATACAGATATACAAGATTATAGAGATTTATCCAAGGTAAATGTTGGGAGAAATGTCCAAGGCAAATGAGATACAATAATACTGACTATGACAATTACATTAAAGCTTAACTAAATATAAAGCAACATTATAATATTTCACAAAGCAGAACCGGTGATAATGAAAACAACCTCCGTTGGTAAGCTAAATAAGATCTCATGGGGTACAAAGTGATAGAGATGAACCTCTTGATAAATTATGATTCAGTGGCTTCTATTGAGGACTTCATCCAATTGTTCTATGACCCACCACCTCTATTAAGATAATAGGTATTTATCCCATACTCTGTGGCATGTTATAGAACTGAACCCATTCTATTAATAATCATAACAATGCCATGGTTTTATTCTTTTATATTGTCTGATTGAAAAAATTTCGCGTATCATTATGCTTCCATTTTGAATATGTTGTTTTTACCAAACACATCTTACATTGCATATCCAAACAATGCCCTTCAAGGCAAAACCAATAACTTTATAGCCTGCCCGTGAAAATTGTTCCAGCAAACAAAAATACGTTCTCGATCTTTCTCATTTGGAGAGTCATCCTTTGTCAACTGACAATTAAAATTTCTTTAATTTCTCTCAATTAGGCTGCAAATGCACTCTCTACTCATTCTATTCACCCTACGCAGTCTTTGCAAACTACATTTCTATAATACCTCAAACCTGTCGAGAAGGGATAATTGATCTGTTCCCCTTCAGTATTTTGCTTAGCAAATTTAATTATCTGAGATGGGCGGCCATAGTAACTGAATAAATAAAGAAAAGAAGAAGAAAGAATCCATGCTTGGCTCAATGGAAAACTATCTATACTTTTCTTTCCAAGACATGAAATTATCTGCAATTACGGCAGGCTTAAACACAGACATGCACCTAACAATATATTCAAGCTTTCCTTGTACAGTAACTAGAGAAGTATGCCCCAAACTAATGTTAGCTGTCATAATATGAAAGCATATACAAAGAATGTTTGGGATGTGCTATTTCTGAACTTGTTTTCTTTAAAGCACTGGTCTATAAGGTTTTCATGGGAAGCCATTCTTTCTTTCGAGAAAGAGTTGATTTATTTGCAAATATAGTCATTATCTCCATGGAGATGCTGACAACACTTGTTTAGGTTCTGCAGTGATCTGTGTGATTATGAATTCATCTCTTGCTACAAATTAGCTGTTTGAAATCACTCCTAAATGGTGGTTCAACATTTTCATTCAAACCCATCATATTATCCTTCTGGACACTATTATTCAAATAAATTAGCATTCCCGGTTTTCTGGCTTGTCTGGAAACAATGGGAATAATTGGTCAAGCAATGTTGCCATGCAACATCTTCTAATTTTACCTAGGATTGAGCAAAGACCATGCAAAGGCTTCCACATTAGAGGTTGTAAAGCATCAATGCTTTTCCTAGCTAACTGGGATCTGGCTGCCCCGATGATTTTTGATATTGGGTGTGAGAAAGAGTGTGTATGTTAGTGTGAGGAGGGAAAAATTTAGATTCTGAGAAACATACTCAAAATTAAAATCCAAATGACTTCATGTGCCGGCTGATTAGTTTCCATGACAACTCTGATTCAATTGTTGTACAAGATGCCCACATAAATGGGGAGAAGGGGAAAGCTTTCATATCACCACCTTGTAGGTACGTGTGTGTGTGTGTGTCCGTGTGCATGTGTGTGTGTGTGTCTATTTATATCCATAATCTTTTGCCCTCTTACATTTAACAGGAATTCCTGTATTTAAATCTAATCTACTGTGTCCTGCTCCCTGGAATGACATACCAGCTGTAGGATATACTTTCAGATAATTGAAGACTGCTATGGTATCCACAATTGTCTTTCCTTAAGGTTAAACATATCATGCTCCTTCAATCTTGCTCCATTTTTATTCCTTTGCCACTCTTCGAGTCTTTTTCTAAAATGAAATGCTTAGAACTAAATGCAATATTTAAACTGGATTCTCACAAAAGCAGAATAAAATGAACGATAGCTTCCTATGATTTGGATATTAAATTTTAGTTAAGACAGCCTACATTTGCCTTTCCCTTCTTTGCAGCCACATCACCACATTCCTGGCTCGTGTTCCGTTTATAATCAATCGCTCTGGCAAAACTACTTGTTATAAGTATTATAACCAATTAGGAATCCCCATCATATACTTGTATATCTTATGTTTGGGAAACATTTTCTGATAGGCTGGCTTTAAGAATTTATTTTCAAGACGGGTGGGGGTGGCTGAATGAATTACAGTATGTTGCTATACTCTAAAGAAGAGTTATGCACCCCAACCAAGACTTAAAATATCTTGCTAATCAGAAAGTCAAGGTATTCTTTTGTCAAGTGTTTGGTTCAAATTCCTAAAAACTACTAAGATACTATTTTGATCAGAATATGAATCTAGCAAATTCATTCTCACTTATTTATATTGCTGTCCATCTCAAGGTCATGACTCCGAGCAGCTAACAATTAAAAACACTATAACAATACTGTAGACAAATCTTTGCTGAATTCAATTAACTGCAATTGTTTTTAAAGAGTTTACAAACTGATCTCTTTTCGATCTGTCCTACAATCTTTGTGTGAGCCAGTTTGGCGTACAGGTAGTCCTCAACTTAGGACCACAATTCAGATTGCAAGTTCTGTTGCTAAGTGAGGCAGTTAAATGAGCCTTGCCTGATTTTACAATCTTTTTTTTTTTTTTTTGCCATGGCTGTTAAGCAAACCATGATGGTTAAATGAAGCATGCAGTCATTCAGCGAGTCCAGTTTTCCCAGTCGACTTTGCTTGTCAAAAATTGGCTGAAAAGCTTTGCAAATAGCAATAACCCTGATCCCAAGACACTGCAACCATAATAAATTAATGCCGGCTGCCAAGGGCCCATGTGACTGCAGGAAAGTTGCAATATTTGTAGTCCAAGGACCAGTCACTGAATGAATGGTTGTAAGTGGAGGAATACCTTTAGTGATTAAGGCTAGAACCCAGGAGACTGTAAGTTCCAATCCTGCCTTAGATACAAAGCCAGCTGGTAATCTTGATCTAGCGACTTTTTGCTCAGCCCTGGGAAGCAGATACTACAATGCCATTTCTATCACCTTGCCATGAAAATTGCAAGAACTTGTTCAGGCAGTCTTCAGGACCATCCATACTGACTCAGAGACACCCCAAAACAAAACAAAAAGCCCAAACTTTTCAAGTATTGCTGTCAGCCTTATCTATTTTGCTAGATTCTTCTTCCTACTCTACCTATCCTATCTTTTCAAACCAGGAACAACATTTGCTATTCTCCAATTATCTGCCACTTCTTCAGAGCTGCAGGATTTCTCAAAGGAAACATGTAAGGGTTCAGACAGATAACCAGCAAGTTCCTTTATTACCTTTGGATACAATTCATCTATCCTGAAGATGTAAACATTCAAATAAAGAGGTATTTTCCTGACCCTGCTTGTCAATCACAAGCTGACCCTTCAAATTTCTCTTCACTATTTCTGGATGGAATGCATATTTATTTTTTGTTGGAGAAGACTGAACTGAAGTGTTTGAGCACCTTTGCCTTTTTTTTTCTTGGAATTTTATCCTTCTTTCTTTTTCATTTCATTACCATAGCTCCTTCTGGTTTTTCCTCCTTTTTCTCTACAGTTCTGAGCTACTTTCCTGTACACTTTCTGAAACTTGTCTTTCTATGACCAATATATGCCCATGTGTGCTTTCTTTTTTTCACTAAGCATTCTGTGTAAACCATATGGTTTATTCATCTGTCTTCTATTTTTTTCTCCTCACTGAAATGGTTTGTAATTGTCTTTGCACCTCTTGTTCCATTAATTTCTTTTATCACAGATTCTCACTTATCCCTATTCTAAATTAACATCTTTTTTTTCTGAAGTGATGTGACCCCTCACATCCTGGACATAAACGGTTTCAACTCCTACCCTCAAAACTACGCTATAGAGCACTGCACACCAGAACAACTAGACACAAGGACAGTTTTTTCCTGAACGCCATCACTCTGTTAAACAAATAATTTCCTCAACACTGTCCAACTATTTACTAAGTCTGCATTACTACTACTATTAATCTTCTCATCACTCCTATCACCCATCCCCTCCCACTTGTGACTGTATGACTGTAACTTTGTCGGTTATATCCTTACGACTTATATGGACTGTTTCCTAGTATGATTTCATTGGTATTTGTACCCTATGACTATCATTAAGCGTTGTAACTTATGATTCTTGACAAATGTATCTTTTCTTTGTATGTACACTGACTGCATATGCACCAAGACAAATTCATTGTGCTAGAAGATCATCATGCTAGAATAATCACACTTGGCTGATAAATAATTCATTTCATTGTTCATAATGAAGTGAAAAGTATGTTTGCTCAGTATTTGCTTTTCCTTAAAATCAAGGATGCAATATTACACTGTCACTTTACTGGGCAAAATAACAAGTCTAAGGACAGATTATCCTTTTGTAATCTTTTTTCTCCTGAATTCTCCCGAGAAAACAGTGCTTTGTACAATTAGTTCCCGAGCAGATGCAAATTATTAAAGTCTCCTGTTATGACTTTATGACCCTTGGAAAAAATCTGCAGTTTGCTTTAATAAGGCTTCATCTACATCCTTTCTTTGGTTAGGTGGCTGATGGTAGACACCAACAATAGTATTGCTTTTACTTTTCTACCACTTATTTTAACCCAGATGGTCTCTTTACAGCTTTGTCAATGTGGATTATTCACTTAACTTTTCTCAAACATTTCCACTTAGAACTAAGAGCACAATATCTTTTAAGAGTTTGATTGATTTCTTGCAATCTTGATCATCATGCTAGAATAATCCAAATTGTTGGGGAAAATGGACTGGTTTAGTACCTTTTGGACTAATCAAAGCACAATGCCATCTGGACCGTTGTTCTCTGCATTTTGGAAAAATTGTGAATTTTTGAAAACTTTCCTCTTTTCTGACTTGGAAACCTGTTGCTCTCTATTTGAATCTAAAGGGAGTCAACCTTTACAGCTATGGACATCAAGCATCTGTCTTCTTAAATCCCTGTTTGGCTTTTAACATCAGAACTGCTGTATAAATATGAACTTGAGTGCTCATTTGTAAGTCACAGACAGAGCCAGTTTCAAATTACTATTCAGTTGTAGATATCACTGCAGAAGTGATTTACCAGCCCTCTCCTAACTGTTGAGAAAGCTCCGGAGACATGATAGGAGAAGTATAATGTGCTCCTGTGTTTCACCTTCAGACATCAAGAATCACACAAGTATAAATCACCAAGATTCAACAGAAACTGTGTTGAATTATGCCACACAAGGTGGCTAAGAATCTTGCAGCATCTTTAAGAACTAACAAGATTTATTGTGGCACTGACTTTTGTGGATTAGACACCACTTTGTTGGGTGAAATGTTGTAATTTTCTGGGAGAGATATGTGTGCATTGACAGAGGAAAAAAAAACCGTAAACACTTTGGCAAAAAGAACATGAAATGTAAATTTATGCAGAACTCAAAACAAAAAGTCCTGTTCTTATTTTTGAATATTTTTGAACTCAACAAAAATATTCTAAAACTTATATTGTCCCTTACACATTCTCTTATTTATTTCTGTCAATATTTATTAAGTATAACTTATGTATTCATGCTTATCAAAAGAAATATTGCATGCATCTGATAAAATAGGCTGTAGTCCCTAAAAAATGAATGCTGCAACAATTTTATTGGCCTTGTCACTGCACAAAGCTTTGATTTTTTACCATTCTTGAGATCTGAATGGCCATATGTTATCTGTTAGCCATATATTGCTTGATACACTTTCAAGCTTGAATGACCATGTAGTTGATACATTTATAGAAAAGCATAAAATTATAAAGCATATTTAGCTACCTGATGTAGGATATACAGTAACTATTAGAAATTTTACAAAGAAAACATCTCTCTGAAATATTTTGCACGAAAAATGGATACAAAGTGTCCAAAAGGTCCAAATGAACTTTTATTATTATCAAACTATAGTTCTCAAATGGTTTCAGGGGTATCTGCAGCAACAGTTACTGACTTCAAAATGGCAGGTTCTTTTTTTAATGTGTGTTGCATGCTTTAGGTTTCCAATTGTTTGGTTGCACCTACCATTTTGAAGTACTGACCATTACTGTGGACACTCCCGAATGCCAACACTAAAGAAGTTACCTCAAAATATCAGAATTCTCTAAAGTAGTCTGTCATTTTACACTGGCAGCCTAACTGCAAATACTAAACTTATTTAATTTTGAATATATTTTAACAGCCACAAAACAATACTTATAATCAGGGTGGTGAAAATATAATAAAAGAGAGACATGGAACCAAGCTTTCTAAGGCACTGAACATCATTCATAGTTTTTTTTTTCAACTAACATCAACATTTCGAAGTTCCAAAGACTGAATTTTATTATATGGGATGTTTCTAAAATATATCTCATTATGATTAAGCATGAAAGTTATTGTAGATGTATCAGTTTCCCCCAAAAAAACTTTCTAAATCCAACAATATTTATAGCTGTAGATTTTAATCCATGCTAGTAACTAGGTAACAGTAGATTGAGTGAGCCACATAACAAAGGATATGACATACCATAACAATGTGGGAGATGTTCAGGGGGTAAAGTACTAATCACATATTTTAGGTGTGTCTCATTACCTACTAATGAAAAAAAAAGTGTTAATTAGAGTTACATTTAGTGTAACAAGCATATCTGAGAAGTCTTCTAATAATGGTTAAAATTCTACAAGGGTAACTGAGGATTCCATTTTGGAATAGTCTACTTCCAGTTATTAAACATGATTGGCATGGTCTCAAAAATGCTTTTACATTCAAAAGGCAACTGGACTGTTTTTTTCCTTTATCTTCAGGCTTCTGAAAAAGGAAGAAAAAAGGAGATGTTTCGCTTCTCATCCAAGAAGCTTCATCCATTCTGATGGCAGGGGGGTGGGGGGTGGATTCAATCCCTGCCATCAGAACTGATGAAGCTTCTTGGATGAGAAGCAAAATATTTTCTTCTTCTTCCTCAAAGAAAACCAGTCCAGTTGCCTTTTGAAGAAAAAAAGCACATTTGAGACAAGGATGACCTGGATGACAGAATCTCCACAGACATGATCATCATGGCTTTTTCTAATACTATCCCAATATTGGACGTCTATTATTAGCATGAATAATGTGAACATGGGCACGGATGGATAAAACATATGGAAGAAAATGAAAATCACTAAAATATCATTCTTTGCAGACTGCAATAAAATTGTGTATCATAATCATCCAACTTCAGAAATTGGATACCTATCAAATATAAACAAGCTGGCCAGCTTCATAGTTGCTATAGAATATTGCCCTAAAAGTGAAATGTAGGTTTTAAAAAAAGGGTAAAATCCTTAATACATCATATCCCAAATTAAATTTTTCTTCTGCTAAAAAGGTTATAAATAATCTTTACAGTATTTGTACGAAGTGGTTAAAGAACGGCAATCAACCAGAAATGTTTTCACCCACAGCAATAAATCCCTCAAAAGTAGGAATGTATCATAATCTGACCAATCTCTGGTTGAACTTTGGCTTAACACTGTTTACAACTCTTGTATAAATTGTTTAGGTGCACATGATTAAAAGATCAGGAGAATCCTAATTCTATTGTGATAAAAAGAGGATAAGAACAGTAGTAAGGGTTCAACACTTGCATACAACAATGGCCCATTTCAGAAGAAATCAACACAATCCACAAAGTACTCTATTTTAATGGATGTTATGGTTAGCAACCCCGGCCCCTCTTAATGTTAATATGGCACGATGACCCTCATTATTCCTGGCCATGTTAGTGGATAGGAGTTAGCATCCAATGATAACCAGGCAGCTTACAAGCTACCTTTGATTTATTGGGATATCTCCCAAGCACAGTTGTTTAATTTAGATTCCTTTTCTAAAACAAAACCAAATAACCCCCCCAACATTCTGACATTTATAACCAATAGGATTCTCTGGCAACAGAGAAATATTTTGTTTTAATTTGAATTTTGTAAAAAAAAGAAAAGAAAAAGAAAAGAAATCCCTGCTCCCTTGTTTGCCACTTTCCAGTTTGTTTACTGACAACAATCACCCACCTTTAAAAAGAATTATTGCCTGACATTTCACACAGCTTTTACTGCTTTTCTTGGAACAATGCAGTGAAAAAGAAAGAATCTCCTCTCTCTTGTCATGACCCAGTTCTGGGCTTGTGCTTTTTTGATGAGTCTTTGATCTGCAACAGGCTTCATAGGCTTGTTTCCCGAAGGAACATGGTGCCAATGTTGTAGGATATTTTTCTCACTCTGGCAGACGCGACAGAAGACTTTGGCTGCTTCTGACCAGTTCTGACCTCCAGGAAATAACAAATCCCAGGAATTTCCTTTGGAAAGTTGTCTGGAAGCTCTTCACGGGACCGAGGAATGAAGATAAAATTTTCTTCCTTTTTCAGAAGCCTGAAGGTAAGGGAAAAGACAAGAAGGGGACAACTTTGAGTAATGGTTATCAAAAGGCAGTGAACTCCTTGCTTACAAAGACAATTAAAGATTGGAGATTCAGCCAGTTGACTGGTCATTGTTTTTGTCTTAAATAAATACAGACACCAAGCCAAGCAGATCAATCTGAAGCCACAATTCTTTGGTTCTTGCACATGTGCAAATAAACTCTGCAGGTAAATGTTACTTTCATGGACTACTCAATCTCCTACCATCAATACGTCAGGGGACAGCAGGGCGGAAAAAAGGAGTTTTCAGGAATACCTTGCAGTTGCCACTCATCTGAAAAGCTCAATAATTGTGTCCCTATGCTACTGTCACTTGAAAGTAAGAGTATGAGTTCTCATTTATTTATTGAATTTATATGCCATTCATCTCACTGTCTAAGTGACTCTGGGCAGATTACATATAAATATAAAAACAATTAGAATTAACAAGAATTAAACAAAGACTAAAAACCAAGTGTAAGAACAGTATGGAGGTGGACTTTTTCTCTCTTGCACCATCTACCATCCCTACCATAGAGTGCTCCATTGGGACCCAAGCCAACCAGAACAGTCAAGTTTTGAGACCCTTCCAGAAGACCAAGAGACTAAGGTTTCTCCCTGCGTGTGTCTTGCTCCCCTCCTTACCATAGTGTTGACTTTTATGTCAATTTTAGAGTTAATGGTTATTATTTAGTTGTTTAACTTGCTCATTTTATGATTTGTAAGCCATCTAGAGTTCTCCCTAGTAAAGATGGATGGCATAAAACTTGAACAAAATAATAAATTAGTATTACTGAAAATAAATCCACCAAGTAGTAAATATGAGCACATACTGAGAGAGAGAAAATTACTAAACAAAGTTGACAACATATAAAATTTCATACAAAATTTCATTAGATAGACAGACAGACAGACAGACAGACAAAAAGATGTGAGAAAGAGAGTTTTAAGTCTAGTTCAACAGGAATGTAAAACTCTTTAGAATACATTTCCTTAAGAAATTCATAAAATGATATGAAAAATAATTATTGTTTTTGTCATATAAACTAGTCCATAACTTCTCAAAGATTAATATCTTTAGATATTTTTTTCTTTGTTAAGCAATATTCCTCTCGAAAACCTCATACGTGGCAATCCACCATACCAAGCATATTCTTCTAGGACTAGTTGTTATGTCCATGTCCTTTTTTGTGCTCTATGTAATAGTGGCCTTTGAATTTAGAATGGCTATCATTTTCCTCTCACAGATGTTCAGACCTTACTATTAGTTACTGTATACTTGACTGGGTAACACTCCTTTGACTATAACTCCTACTCAGGCAGTCATCCTCAGAAGGAGATTGTTGACTTGCAGTTGTTGTCTGCTATATTATTTTTGTATCGGTTGCAATTCTGTATTAACTGCCCAGGGTCACAGTTTTTGAGTTTGAATGGCCATGTGCTTTGATTTGGTAATATAACTACATGCATACAGATTTTGAATTGGTTCCTCAGAGGTATGGCCTTGCATTGTCTTTTCTCAATTTTCATCCCCTTGACCTTCTACATCAGGGGTGTCAAACTCACGTAGTCATGTTGTCATCATGTGATGTATCACGACTCCCCCCCTTTGCTAAAATGGGGGTGGGCGTGGTCAGTGCGTGATGCATCTGGCCTGCAGGCTGCGAGTTTGACACCCCTGTTCTACATCAATTATTCCAGTTCAAACTTCTATTTGTTCCTATTTTATAGCTTAGTAGCAATTTGAATCATTCAGGATGCTGCCTTTTGGCTTTTTAAACAATGTTATCTAATAATGAAGAAAACTGATTTAAGACTTTATGTAAATTGTTGGAGGATTGCCAGCACCTGACTTTAAAGGCTGATGTTGGCGTAGCAGACTGAACTTTATGCAAAGTTACAATCTTTACAGCAGAGGGAAATGTACATTTCTTGAACTTTTGTTAGAAGATGTACTGGAGATATCACCACATAAATTACAAATGTCTTGAGTCATCTGATTAAAAAAAAAATACCCAAAGGATTAGAATCTTGAATCATATTAAGTAAAAAAAGTTGAAAATTTTCAATCGTAACATGTCGTATCTACTTTTTAACTCTGGAGTTATGTGTTGTTGTTGAGAAATGCACTGATGGTTCTGTGGGTGGAAAATGAAATGATAAATAATGCTAACAATGATTCTATGGTTTATTGAGTTTTAATTATCCATTTGTTTGTTTACACATAAATTGAAATGGATTATTACATAGCTGTTCTCTTGTGCACCATGCATAGAATGGTGCTTTTGAGAGAGTAAACAATGCTCTGTTAAGCTAGCAATTCAACTGATCTGACTGATGCAAAAATGTGTTTTCCATTTGACATTTATTTAAAATTATACCTGCACTTTCATTTAGTAAAAATGCACAAGGCAGCTCAAAAACAAATTTAAAACAGTACACATATAATAAAAAAAGTTATTATTTTTATTTGCTTGGCTGCAGTGGCAATAAACACATCAATCAAATGTATCTCTCACTAGGTATATTTATAAAGATTCCAACCAAAGGAAGAGATAAACATTGGATTTTCTCTTTTAGTTGTCAAAGAATGCAGGGAGTCCTCGACTTATGACCTCAGCTGAGTCCAACATTGCTTTCAGTCGTAACTACCACTCATTTAATGCTATTGTAAGTCTGAAAGCTCACTGAAAGAATGGTCATTAAATGAGGAGCAGCTGACTTTCAAGTTTTCCTTTATGGATGTCTGATGGATGGGTGCACCCTTGTAGTTAAAGAAACTTTTACTGAACTGAGATATGAAGAAGAGTTGTTTTCCTTTGGCATGTTCTCTCCTAATCCTCCCTGCACAACTCTACTCGTGGAAACTGTGATATCTCTGCCTTTGGAGGTATTGAAGAAGAATCCAGACGGCCATCTTTTGAGGAAGATCAGTTGGTTTACCTGCATTTTGCAAATAAATGTTTATCCTTTTGGCCCTTCCAATTCTACAGTTTTATGAGTCCACAAGTTTGTAACTTTGAGCCTGCCTACACAGCTAGCTTGATGTTTCTCATCTCTTTTCTTTCTCTTTTCCTCATACATTTCAATGCTCCTGTAGATAAAGCTCTTCCCTCAAATCAAACTTCTTCTTTCTTCCTCTCTTCTTCCCATTAATAGTGTTAAATAGTGTTTCAATATTTGACAGGTTCCTACAAAGATGGTGGGGGAGGGGGAGGGGTTGTCACACTATTTTCCAAAGCACCTAAAGTCAAAGATGACAAACAATGGAAAGAAACTAACCAACGAGAGCAGCAACTAGAACTAAGGAGACATTTCCTAATGGAGAGAACCAATCAACAACTTGCCTTCAGAAATCGTGGGTGCTCTATCACTGGAGGCTTTGAAAAATAGACTGGACAACCATTTGTCTGAAATGCTATAGGGTCACTTCCTTGAGCAGGGGGTGGACTAGAAGACACCCAAAGTCCCTTCCAACTCTATTATTCTGTATTATAATACCTGCCTAATTCTCAAGCACCACATTAATATTATATGATTCCCTCTAATTCCTTCCTTGGGTAAAATGAGAATCCACCATAAATTATAGAGATGAAGAGGCCTTATCACTTGTGCTTTGGGAGTGACAGTCAGATTTTAAAAATGTTTAAATGCAGTTAATGGCACAAATCCAAAGGGATATACAACACTATTATTCTAAGGGAATATAATGTGGAAGTCAGTTGTAATTCACACATGCATCTTTTTCTGGTTAGCTAACTGCTATAATATGAAGTCCCTTGGACAATGTAAGTGAGAGATATGAACCATCAGCCATGTCCACCCAGCTGAGAAAGATAAAATCCAAGGTGCTAACCGAAAAAGCAGATGAGCATCACATTTTCAATCTCCCCTGAATACAGGAGGAGAGGAGGAGAAACAGCAGGAAATAAATGAGCCTGAATACATTCCATATCTGCATCATTTAATCTGACATTTTTTAGTTCTTGGTTCAAAAGTTTTGGTCATGAGCTCTGTCAAATTCATATGAACTAAAATGATTGCTAATAACATTAGGCAGTTTGAGGTGATCTATTCAGATGCTGGATGAACAATGAGGGAGTTCATGGACCATATGGTTTGGGCACTGAGCTGCCTTGGTGTGTGAAGAATACTTTCTCATTGCCTGTTTTGAGATATGATTCAACTGTTGATCAAAGTGAATAGGAAACATATGCACAAATAGAGAAAGGAAACAAATATTGTCTTATTTTTTTCCATTCAGTGATTGATTAGTTAGTTTACTTTATTGTCATTGCACCTCATACAACAAAATCAAACATCATTTTCAGTGCACATGAAAATAAACACAAACACACATCCTTCACACTGCACACATTGAATTGAAAACCCTGACACCACACCAACACTGCACTATATAGTAGAATTCAAAAGAGCTACTGCCCTTGGATAGAAGCTGTTTTTCAGCCTATTTGTCCTTGTTTTTATTATTCTGTACCATCTGCCAGTTGGTAATCATTCAAAAAAAGGGTTCCCAGGATGAGATGGATCTTTAAGAATGTTTTGAACTTTCTTAAGGTAGCAGGAGCTTTAAAACTCTTCCAAAGAGGGGAGAGGGCAACCAATCTTCTGGGCAATCATGTTAACCCTCTGGAGCACTGTCCTATCTGCCATTGTGCAATTGGCAAACCAGAGGTGCAGTAATAAGATACTTTCTATGGTGCAGCAGTAGAAGGTCACCAGCAGTTTTTCATTCAGTTGTTTTCTGAGAAGTCTCAGGTAGTATGATCTCTGCTGGGCCTTTTGACCAGTGGTGCAATGTGAGCACCCCAGGTCAGGTCCTCTTTTATGATAACATCCAGAAACTTAAAACTGGCCACTTGCATCACTCGGTTTCCATTGATAAACAAGGTTTCTTTGTTGAGGGGAACCACAAAGATCCAGCTTTTTATTAACTGTTTTGCTTGCTGACTC